TAACAAAACCCTAATGAAATGATCCAAAGGATGGACTACGGTAGTCGGTAGTAGCCAACCTTTACTGGTCCTACAGTCAGACAGTCAAAATATAACCATTTTGAGTCTCTATGAAAAGTTTCTATGAATGTCATGCACAACTGGAAACAACCTTTCTACTCTTTGGTATTTTTACCTGTCAAGCTGAAGGAAAGCGAGCTTGGCATCCATGTATGTATCGCTGCAGCCCGGAGACCTGCAGGTGGGAGGAGCTTACGCCACAAGCGGGAGGAATTTCACAAATGTGCAAGTAGGAGGAGCTTATGCGGAAATCCTTGTCATTGCCGAGGATGGCGGTGAATGAGTAAGGCAGGAAGTAGCGACAATAATGAAAATAAACGATCAAATATTACGTTCCTCATCATGGTCTGATTTCTTACAGCTTTGTTATTATTCATGTCACATCTTTACACCTTTTACCATACTTAAAGTGATGGTAGGCCTTATGGTGCGTTCACGTGCTATGGTAAATATGGTAAATTCCAAAGTCGAAGTGGAAAATGCACATGAACACCCCCTCAAGATGTGTGCCCGATCCTTAAAGCTACACTGTGTGATTTTTACCCCCCATCTAGCGGTGAAAATATATATGACCATCCAGTGAATATTAGTTTCCGTTCCTCTCAATTCCGATTTCGTTTTAACTCCTACGGTGGCCAATGTAGTTCAAGATTAACATGGCATCCAGTTCGACCTCGTCCATGATTGTTAACTCAAACGTAAACGCGAAAGGCGAAGCTTGAATTAACGGGTATGTCCCTCTTTGGCTAATGTACTTTCAAGATGGAGGGGCAACATGGCGACCGACATTAGAACCCCTTACCCGTATGCATTTTCAATGGCATATTATAGGCTACACTCACGAGAATGCTTTATTACATGAACGAAGTAAATATACATTAATGAGCACATATATTTTGAAAGAACTAAGTGTTTTTAGCTAATAATAAACTAAAAGAGTTACACAGTGTAGCTTTAAAGAAAGCTCATCCTTAAAAGAAAAATATAAGTGGATTCAAATGGTGCTATGATGCACATTTTAAATCATCATTAAAATTGATAATGTATACCTTGTTAAAAACAGAGGGCAAAACTAGGGTTGGTCGGATAAAATTAAGTAATTTAAAATATTATATTATATTATATACAATATTATAGTTACATAATTTGAAACCCAGCATATGCATTTTGTTTCATATCAAAGTTCTTACTTGCAAGTTCAGTTTTTTTTCAGTTCAGTTTTTCTTCCCATAGGTGTCAGGGAGTGCAGAGCATTCTTCTTCTTCTGAAAGAGGATTAGAATAAAAAAAAAGTGATAAAATTATCCATTCCTTTTTAATCTGACAAATAAATATTTAGCAAAATATAAAACAGAAATAGAACAAGTACAATATCAAAATTAATTGAATGCAAGGATGGATTACATTGATCACAAATTATAGTAAAGACTTTTGTAAATAAAAAAATAAATAAAAAATCTAATTAATGGTCCAATTTTAAACATTTTTCTTTAAAAAATACCTTATTCACCAATGAATACAACAACATTTCAAAATATTGCCAACCCCATTTTTACAGTGTTTGCTCATCTGCAATACGTCTATAGGACGTTTAGAAGATGTCTTTAAGATGTCAGTTTAACATAAATTCTAAATCATTACATCTTAACATCTTCTAAACGTCTATTTGACATCTGGCAGGAAACGTCCTAGAGACATATTGCAGATGAGCAAACACTCTAAAAAAAATACATCTTCCAGATGATTTAAAATGTAGTTTTTGAGGTTTTAGATCAGCATTAAGGCGCTCAGCTTAAAGCCAAGTGAATTCTGAAGCGATCGTACCTCACAAAAAGTGGCCGTCCCAAGAGATTGTTTCAGAAAAAAGTTTAGCAGGGATCATTGCTTTGGGTCGTTATAACCAACATACAGAGAGAATTTAGAAAGATTCCCTACGGCCCAAACCTTGAAATGAAACTTCAAAACTAATGAAGTCTATTCAAGGATAAACCCAACCTGTAAACAACTTTAGCTTTAAGGCAGTAAAATTAGATAGTGATGTTCTAACAGTCTATTGTGGATTTTATGTGCAGAGAAACACCAACATGAGCTCTCCAACATCCATCATCTCTAACATCCATCCATCCGCATGCCTATCTCTCTTTGTCTATTTCTTTGTCTCACTGTCTATCTATTTATTTTTTATGTCTGTCTAATGTGTCACATTTTCACCCGGGTAATCGTCTGGTGTTTCTTTTTCTTATTTCCTCAGAGACAGGTCAAGAGTAGATATCGTTTTGATACTTTGATATTTTCCACAATGTGCATGTGTTCATGATTATGTATCTCAGATTCTCAGCGATACATAATTTGTAGCACTTGGCTGTCTTATTGACAAAGTTTAAACAAATTATGACTGACATGACTTATTCATCTCAGTGCTGCAGATGTTTGCCGCATTGCTACCCAAGACTGACTGTTTATGCTCCCTGTGATGATCGTTTTGCAGGAGGGTTTGTCTCCATGGTAATTGCATTAAATCACAATGGAACTGCAGGGAAATGTCTGTTTACACATTCATACAGACTGTCAATTTGAGGCTTTTGTAGACATATAATGCATATTCATCTCTGTCTGGTAAAACACACTGTAATCTTACAAAACTTTGTAGATTCTTTCTACAGAATCCTTTGTAATCTAATAGTGTCATGTGACTTTTGTTTTATAAGACACGTGTTCTTTATATATATATATATATATTCATATAAACATTTAGAATTCATGCCAACCTTACAAATGGAAAAAAAAAGACAAGTTAGTAACCACTGAGAAGAAAAGAAAAAAATAATCATGATCATCCATATGAAACATGCACTCCATCTGCTGGGTGAAGCACATCAGGGCAGACAAAACTACAAGTCTGGGGAAATTTTTTAAAGAATGTTATAAAATGAAAGCCGAAGTGTCTCATTTTACCATCTTAAAATCTTCCAGTGTAATATGTAGAGACAACGGTAAGTTAAGTTAAGAAAAATTCAATCATTAATTACTCCCCCTCATGTCGTTCCAAACCCACAAGACCTTTGTTCATCTTTGGAACACAAAATAGCTGTTTATGAAAGAGGATAAAAGAAAAAGTCTTGCTATATCAGTGCAAGTTAAAGTTGTGAAGGTAGTTAATACAGTTGATTAAAGGAATAGAGAGAATTGAACATTTAAGCTCATATGTAGGCTAGTCATTTAATAGCTTTATCTATTGATTCTAAAGCATATTTATATTACCATTATATATTTATTCATTTCATAATAATTCATAAACTAAAACTGTACGTGTGTGATCAATTTAGGGTGTAATAATAACAAAATAATATCTATATCATACAAAATCATTATTCTAAATAAGCATTACTAAAAGCCAAAAAAAACTTGATTCCTATGACCTTTAATCTGGAGTAGAAACAAGCTGAGTGACTTGATCTCATCAGATATGTCACTCTGCTCACAGCTGATTAGTTAAAGTTTGGTTTGTCTTACCTAGAACATAACCCAGGCCAGGTTAGCTGAGAAGAGTTAGTTACTATGGTGATGAACACTGCTAAAAGCCAAACCACTTTCATGGTGCCTAAAACCCAGGGTTGGCGAAAACTAAACTAAAACATATCGGGCTAGCCACCTATACTGGCTTCATAGTATAGGCCCCTGGAAAGCATCTGCTGTTTACTAACATCTGATAGACATCTTTAAGATCTCAGTTTAACATACAAGACATCTTCTAAACGTCTATTTGACATCTGACAGGAAATGTACTACTGAGGTATTCCAGATGAGCAAATACCCTAAAAACTACGTCTTCCAGATGTAAACACACACATCAAATAGACGTATCTGGTTCTCATCACTACATACAATAAAGTTTGATCCACTGTAAGTTAGTCACATGGACTATTTTAACGTTGTCTTTACTTACTAACCTTCTAGGCCTTGAAAGAGGTAACAATTGACGTAGCCGCCCACAGGGGGGTCAGAAAGCTCTCAGATTTCATAAAAATATCTTTGTGTTCCTTATTAGGCTACGTCCACATTAATTCGGATTTGAAAACGGCGTTTTTTGTTTTAAAACGCTCTCCGTCCACAGCGTTTTCCGACGTTTCAGTGTGGATGAACTTCTAAATATACCATACTGCGCATGCGTGAAAACTCACCGAGACGAAACAGATTAAAGTTATCGCGCAATTCTTCTAACAGGATAACTTTATTTAGCAAAATATCTCACCATCAATGATGCATCCAGGTCGCACTTGTTTGGTCTAAAACGTACGGAGCCCGGGAAGTCACCTGTGGGAAGAAAAAACAAACAAACAAACAAAAAAAAAACAATCCGATGCTACAGTTTTGGAATCCGTCCTCTCAGTTTAACTTACATCCTCGTTTTCAAATACCACAGTCCACACTACAACACGAAAACGGCGTTTTCAAATTAATCCTTTAGAGAGCGTTTTCCAAAAGATACGTAAAACGCTGTCTCAGTGTGGACGTAAAACGGAGAGAACAATATATGTTTTCAAACGAAAACATATTATAGTGGACATGGCCTAAAATGAACAAAGGTAGCACAAGTCTATTTGATGTGATTTTTACATGTGAAAGACGTATTTTTAAGAGTGGGGTGCTACTTAGACACTTCTAAATGTCTATTTGACATCTGACAGGAAACGCCAGGACATTGCACATGAGCAAACACTCTTAAAAATACGTCTTCTAGATGTAAAAATCACACCAAATATACTTGTGCTATCTGGTTTGGAACAACATAAGAGTGAGGAATTAATGATAATTTTCATTTTGGGGTGAACTAACCCTTTAATGCTAAAGAAATTGACTGGAAATAAATTTGTTCCATGTGTTGTAACCTACACAAGGCCATGTAACATCAATCCAAGAACAAACACAAAACACCAAGACTGAAACAGATATAGAATTTATTTAACCATGAGTAGGAAAAAAATACATAGGTGTAAAGGAAACAAGCTGACCCTGTTATAAACACATCACTACTCAGAGAACCAAGAGAACTGGAGAAACAGTGAAATCCAAAACGCTTGTTTACCATTAGGTTTTTATCCCCAACACTTAATATTGAATTAAAAACAGCTGCCATTATTTGATTTTCTTTTATTAAATATCTATAATCTTTTACCATATATGTATTTATATATATATATATATGCAACATTCTTATTTGAAACATTGTGCAAGTGTTATGCTGGTATTCCATAAATGGTAAACAAGAGTTGGTCCAGTGCATTATATAGTGACATTACCTAAATACTTATTGACTCTCAGCTGATTCAACCACAATCCTGACCATTGAACTACTACCCCTACCGACAGAGAAAAGTCGACTATGAAACAGGAAAAGGAAATTAAAAGGTGAAGCCAGAAACATCTGCTCAAGTGGATCAGAAAAAGGGGAGGATGGATGCAAGCAATTATTGCCACGTTGACGTGATTAGCATGATGCTGTTTTTGCTTGTCGTGCACAAGACACCACCTGAAACCATCGTCTTTGACCCAAAGGAAACAAAAACGGCTGAACAATATGGTGATGGCAACAATATCTATACATGCGCAATTTATTAGAAGTGACTTTTTCATAGATCAGTGACACCGAGTTGTGCACAGAACACAAGGAAGGAGAGCAAGAACACTCGTAAAACAAACAAAAATAAAAGTCCCATTCTACTCAACCTCACTTTCTCCTGGAGAGCGGTAGCAAGAAAACAGCTAAAAAAATTCAACGAGAAAGAGACCGATAGAAAGAGAGAGAGTGCTATTCTCGCCACCACCCAAACACATTTAAACTGGCACTCAAACCAGGTGAAATGCCACAAAGATCAGGGTCAAAGTTGAAATCGTTTGGTGACAAAATGACAGCTCTTTATTTCTCCGTGACTTTACCATTTCATTGACGTGTCTTTTTCTCAAAAGTTTCTTGAAGTGAAGGTTAGCAACAATATAAATCTATAATTCAGTGTGCCAACATTTTTACAAAAAATTTGGTTTTGAGTATTACAAAACAAAAGCAAAATGACAAAAACTATTAGATATACACACACATCAACACAATTCATGTCAAAGAAAGGAAACGTGATACATTATTTATTCACACTTTACAAAAATCTTTTTACTACAACACCATCAGCAATCCAATATAACCAGACAAGTTGCTTCCAATTAAAAACAACCAGAAGAAAACCAAAACGGACAGATGAGGAATAAAAAGGGACACCAAGAGGGGAACTATAAGATGGTCCTCCCCAGTTCATCTACTTACTCTTGCTTGATAAAAGTCATTAAAATTGACTTCTGCCTCATGGCAAAAGTAGGTTTACATTTGTATTTCTTTTTTTTAAAAAAAGCAATGAGTAGCTGCACCAGTGATCTACAATAAGTGCTTGTCATTCCATTCGATTTTTTTAAAACATGACAAATTCGAGAGGGAGGGGGGGGAAACGAAAACAAATTGGCTTTGAGAGCACGCAGCAAGAAAACGACGCCAATGCCACCGTAGACGAAGTTAAAAGTCAGACCCGCACTACAGGAATGGTACTCTGGCCTTAGATTTAGAGCAGAAAACCGACAAAAACACACCACAAACGTCTTCGTCAGTTCAGAGAACAGGCTTTACAGTAGTAAATCGAGCTTTACACTTGGCCTTGTGGCAGAATGCATTGGATGGCACGACACGAGGAGATAACCATGGTCTAGCAGGAAGTGAAATACAGAACGAGATCCGAACGAATAGAGAAATACACAAGCGAAAATATACGGTTAAAGTGAATTGCCTGAGTCGAGAGGGAGGAAGTGGCAGTAAATAGAGGATGCAAACTGGAGGAAAAAAAAATTGAGGAATGGTGGATCATGAGAATGATCACGAGCCCGGATCGGCACAGCAGAAACACTCACTTTACTCGACATTATAGACACCCGAAAAAAACAAAACCAAATGAGGATATTGTATAAGTAGATTGAGGCTCTTCAGGTGTTCACTGATAGCACTGGCAGTGCGCTTAGAGAAACGAATCAGTGAGGCACAATGTCAGGTGTTCTTGAATATCAAAGTGGGTAACAGGACCACATCACCAGATATCTGCCTCAGAGGATCACATCCAAAATAATAATTAAAAAAAAAAAAACTGGTACACTGGGTAAAAATGGGAACCTGGACAAGTGCAACTTTACACAGCAGATACCTGAAAAAAATTATTTTACACACGCTGGTCTTTTGAATGTTCATTAGGACGAACATTTAAAACTGATAGAAATTTCGCTTTCATTTACAATACAATCATTTTCATCCAAATCTAAAAAGTGTACGTACAAAGAAAAAAAAATAGATGCAGTAGATCAGGACATTTGTTGCTTGTATACAATCATGTAGAGAGAAAGAAACAAAAAAGATTAGGAGTGAACTGGAGTCTTGGCTGGGCGAAGCGTCTACTGGTGACATTGAGGGTTTAATTTATCCGTCTATGAGTGAGATGTCATTTTCTAGCATATTCTCTTCATCTTAACATGATCAAGTGCAAAGGCTACGGTCAGTGGCGTTTGCTAAAACACAGCTGGCCCTTTCCAGATGACATCCCTTCATTTAAACTCTTGCTCGGCTGTACGCACCAGATCTGCGGGCACCTCAGCTCAAGGAGGGCTCTATGGCACAACTTCATAACTAGGCCATTTTCAGCTCGTTCTTAAAAAAAAAAAAAAAAAAAAAAAAAAAAAAACGAACACCAATTGCTCTGGCATCCAACAGACTAAATAATGAGACGTGGGCCACGCAAACCGGTCACTGGTGTACAGCTAGAGCGCGAGGATCCGTGGAGAGGCCTCAGCACCATTGAGTGCAAACGTGAGAGTTCGGCCCCGCTCTTTACACATTAAAAGCCCTTTTTTAAAGGGTTGCTCCTGGAGACCGTACTCTCTGTCTTAAGCTGGTGAAATTTGTTTTTTTTCCGTCTTCAAATTCAGCTGCTCGCTCTAAACTGGCCTCAATAACATGATCCAAATTATGCATTTCATGATTTTTCGTTTGAGCTGGACTCCCTGCATGTTTCAAAGATATTGCCATTTAGTTATTTATATAAAACAATCTGTTTTTTTCCTGTCTTAAGGTAAAACTTACATGATCACTTGGGGCCCTTAGGGTTTTGAAAAAAAAGAAAAGTACAGAATGGTAACTTGTGCCCAGAAACAGAGGGAGAAAATTAAACGAAATGAAAAGTGGGTGGGAGGTGGTATAGATAAGACTGACAAAAGTGTCTGCTTCAGTTAAAATCCATGGGAATAAAAGTTTGCCATACCCCATCTCCTCATAAGAGATTCAGATTTACACACAACAGCCCTTGCCTAAAAAGGGCCGGAGCTCCCCCTGCTGGCTCGGAGAACTACCTGCGACCAGGCAGATGAATGCCGTTGACCGCAGGCGGGTAGGGCAGGAGCAGCTCCAGTTGTGCAAACAGGGAGAAGTGATCCGAGGGGATGTGGGGATGGGGGCAGCCAGTGATACTGTTCTCGTGGAGCCAGTGGGGGTCCAGGGGACCCAGTACGCCCAGCACATTGAGCAAAGGTTGAGAGTAGAAGATGTAGTCAATGATGCCCTGAAAAAAATAAAGAAAAACATTACAATTGAGCCATTGATGAACTTTATGGAAATTAAATATGGATGAATCCTTAAGCGTGTATCCTTTAAGCAAATGTATTCACTCTATTACAGGCCAAACCGGTCTTCAACAAAATATCTGCTGACATTTGAAAACAGAATGGTCTGACTTTCGATTTGTGAAATTTGTGGGGGGGGGGGAATACGGAAAAATACGGGAAAAAAAACAGTAAAAAATACTGTTTACAGAACAGTAAAATTACAATAGTAACATTTAAGGCAATTTATTTGTTTTCAAACATTAAACGATTAAGGTTATTTTTGTTAAGAAAACACAAAGATCTCTTTGCTTCTCTTGGTTTGAAAGATTTATCAACGATTCTCATGACAAATGTTGCGTTCTCAAAAGCAAATTATAGACGTTAAATTATAAGTACTTGAGTAGCATTTACTGTGAATCAAAACTGAACGCAGTGTTGGTGCAGTACTCTGAAACATGCAGTATGTATTTATATAAAATCACGACGGTTGTGATCTGATAAATCACACTAAACAATCCAGCCCGGTCTCATACCAAGGCGACACTTTTTACATTTCGTCTACATCCAACGCACATGGCACCCTTTAGAGTCAATATGAGACGCAGATATATATGAGCCAGAAGGCGCCTCCTAGTGGTCAAACACTAACCCTACCCCAGAACTAAACCTACCCATAACCATAACCAAAGAGTGTTATATTGACGCTAAAGGGTGCCATGCAAAGTCAAAAGCGTCACTATATGACGCCCTAGGATGAGAATGCGTTGGTCATGCATGGTCAATTCATTAAAAAAAAGCTAAATTTCAACTTTTTTTTTACCCGCATTTGTTGCAGCATGGTTAGAAGCAATGTATTAGTGTTTGAAACAAATGTATTAGAACTACTGCAGCAAGACTAACCATGTCCCTTTAAGGGCTCCGTAGAACGTTTTATTCATTTTCAGTGCCTTTCCGAACAAGATATTTGACTTCGGCATATTTCGGAAGTTACCTTTCACTGTGAAGATCTAAACATATTTAGATATACAGGAAATCACAATGGAAGACGATTTTGATATATCTAAATATGTTTAGATCTTCACAGTGACAAACCATTGTCGATGTTGCATGATCACCTAACTGCAAAAGAACAGTCTGAATAAGATGATCATTTGTTGGTTTGAATGGCACAGAAAACAAACCTTAAAGTCAAAGGTGTAGTTGGTGTAAGGCATCAGGCCGTTCTCGTAGGCACTCTTCAGCTTGAAGCCGTGCGTGATCCTGGTGCTGGAGGTGCCGTTCTTGCCGTTGCAGTTGAAGTTGGTCAAGCTGTCAATGTATCGCAGCTCTTTGAAGTCCTTGTGTGTGCCGTCCACACCACCTGTGCTCAGGTACTCCACGACACCTGTGTGTGCGCATGACAATCTCCATTAGGGACTGAGCAAGAAGGGAAAGCAATCTCGGAAAATACTCTGGTTCTGGAATACATACCCGAGTCAGGTAGAGAGTTGAGGTCAGCGCACAGGACGAGAGGGATGGCATTGGGTTCCCCAGAAACTGAGGAGAGCTTCAGACTGCGAGTGGCCTTATCCACAATGTTCTTCACTTCCGACAGGAACATCATAGTCTGGACAAGCTTCACATCCGAGTACTCGGGGTCCCAGTGCATATGAGCATTGGCCACCAGGAGGAGCTGTTTCTCCATGCCATGTAGAGACTTTCCAGCTATGGAGCAAAAAGAGAGACACTGCGTTAGATACTTGTCCAACCTTAGGATCTCATCGATGGGTAACACTTGAGGAGAGACTAACTAGTAATTCATATTTTCGGTTTTCATTTTAAATTTGTTTGGTTTTGTTTATTTTCTTTTTTTTTTTTTTAAACCGGTCCGAACACTTATGAATATTTATATCATTTTAGAATAAGTAATCTAAAATGTATTATATTTAAATTCTTATTTTCAAGTAACAAATGTTTAATAATTTTAGCTAATAACCTTGCTGCCTACAATCAATATTAAAACTATATACCATTTCACTTAAATCAAATCTACAAGTAATGCAATTTGAGATTTGTTAAAGATTACATTCAACAGTCTTACTAAAGTGTTAAGGGTGAACCAAATGAGAATAAGATGACAGCAAAGATAAAAGTAAAAACGTAAATATAAGGAATGAGAACGTAAAATTAGAGCTGCACGATTCTGGAAAAATTGAGAACCACGATTTTTCTGTTTCAATCTGAACAGACAACAAAACGACGCAAGTAATTTACTAGTGGTTCTGACAACGTCAATTTCTGCAGTCCATTAAAAATTGTAATTTAATGAACAAAAAAAAAAAAAAATCTGTTCGAATGATTCAAAATAACTTCACTTTCATTACTGGATGAACAAATCTTTTGAATGATTCAATGACAAATACCAAATTTCAAGTCACTTGTCACCACCTACCGGTGTAACGATGTATTTTTTTATTTTAAGCACCGAATTACTTGCAAAATGTGACTATTTTAATCGCTACCATAGACACCAGTGTTTATATTGGAATTAAACTCATCTACGTAACAGAAATAACGATGCTGTGTGGTTGTAAAGACGGTTTGTGAAGCGGTTTCATACCTATATACATGACAACTGCTCTTTCTTGGTCAGTGGCAGCGTCAACACAGTAAGTCTGCTCCGATCAGGATTTTTCAGGTCGATCACAGGAAGCAGTATCGGCCGATACCGATCACCAATACAGAAGACTTCCTTTTCTTTTTATCATGTAGCATTATTTAAAGAAATAATCAGGATCTTAAAGACATTAATTCAGGACTTGAATTTCATTTTGGAAAATGGGGGGGGAATTCCCCCTCTTAAGTGACTCTTTCTTAAGAGGGGATTTCTTTTTCTTTTCTTTTTTTCAGGGGGAAGTTGGTAGTGGGGGACATTTTTGTAAAGATATTTTTTTATTACAATTATCTCACCTAAATGTTGATCAAATGTTTGCTTTTACGGTAGGGCAATTTTGTGGCACAATAGCTCAGCACAAGCCTGATGTCAAACTTTGAATTACATTTACAAAAAAAAGACAAAGCAAGCAGTCAGTAATAAAATGAGAAAAACAAATTACAAGCAGTAGCACAAATAAATGCAACAGACACAAATGAAAAACAGTGCTTTTAAGTTAACTGATAATTAAGGAATCAAAAGTAAAATAACACTAGATCTTCCTTGAACAAATTAAATACCAATTAATCGTAACATTTAAAGTTGAGTCAAGAGCAGCGAGTGATTTATCTTGTTGTTTGATTAACATTAAATGACAGACAGCAACAGGCATCTATAGGCTGCTGATATTTAAATCTGATGCACGGTTCTTGCCAAGACGGTAATTTTGGGCAAACAAACATTAAATGTTTAATTAAAATTAATTGTTTAATGTCATATACATCGGTATGAAACATTTAATTAAACATTAAAGTGCAATTTGTCATGAAGAGACCCGAGAGCTGTTTGTGAGGCGGATTTTTCTTCTCTTTTTAGTCTCTCAGAGAGTGCATGAGTGCTGAATGGTTTAAAAATGCTTGAATGTTTAAACTGGCAAGAATTAAAAAGATATGCAAATGATAAACTTTGGTGACAGTGCAACAAGCGTACGTCACTTTCAGCATTATTTTTCACCCACGCCGGACAGAGATTGAGACACCTCTCGCGGCAGGCGAGTGTCTTTTTGCGTCGTCGGAATGAGAATGGTTTCTAAGATCGGCAAATTGAGAGATTGTCGGCTGATAACGATCAATCAGAGCAAATTTGATCGTTTTTAATTTGAAAGGTTTAATAGACCTAGCTGAATCGTTGTCATCCAGGAATAAGATTGCATGGGTGTTTGAATCGTGATCTTTTATTGATTAATCATGCAGCTCTAAATTAATAAAAAATAGTTTCAGTTCTTGATTATGATTGGCTAAGCCATAAAGCTGTCTTAAAACACTCTATAAACCCACACCTGTGACCTCATTACACCATTATTCCTCTATGGCAACTGTTCTGCTAAATGTTTCGAAAAACGGCATTGCTTGGAATAATTATTATTAGTCATCAAAACTAATTTTGTTGCTGTGCTTAAATTATTAGTAGATCGGACATGTTGCGTTTCAGATTATAAAGTACATGGATCAATTACATGAATCCAAAATATCACACTGAAATGCTTTTTCTTTTAACTCAGTGTCAATAATTATGCAGTGTAAAATGTTTGTTAAAAATATTTATATATTCTGTGACTCTATATGGTGTCAGGAAATCGTACAAATTAAGAGTGCAACTGTAATGTAGAGAAAAGGAAAATGAAAACTGACCAGACTGCTCAATGACCTCTTTCTGCAGCTCTAGTAGTACAGCCACTCCGATGTTGTCCTTGGTCATCACCCTGTTCAACATGGCCTCTGAACCCTCGGAGTTTGCCATAGCCAGCTGGTTGAACTCCACTGTGTGTTTCTGTACCAGACTGAACCTGCTCAACACAGAAAAAGCAAGGTCAGGATGAGCACATGCATAATATGTTAGAACAACTGTTTTTCTAAGTCATCTCAGGTATTCGACACAATAATAAAGCGGTTCTCAAACCTGGACTACCTATAGAACACCAGGACCAGGATTGACAACCAATAAACTAAAGCCCTGCAGTCTGCTTATTTATGCCAGACTCACTTATCCGTTTTGTAGAAAACGGCACAGCCGTCCACATGTTTGCGGTCCGATTCAGACATAGTCCTGGCTCGGGACTTGGGGCTGAAGAATCCATCATAACCCTGTTCCTTCAGCTCCACCAAAAAGAAGTTGTAGTACTGCTCTGTCTCCACTTCCTAATGGGCACAAATGTGACGAATGTAAATGGTTGAATCCAAAAATCACATATTTCCCAACTATATAGCAAGCAAAAACAGTATGTGACAATAGTAATGCACAGTACAACCTACAATGCTAATGCATTACAACCGCAGACAACCAACTGACTTCCGGCAGGATTCTGAAGTGTGCATATGATGAACACTTTACTATTCCTTGAGGCCACATAGGATTTATGAATGGCAGTGAAGCGACTAAAGCTGGTCACATGATAATTACAACATAATGCATGAAACTAAAAAAATGAAAGATCTGAATTTAGACTTTTGAACGTGCACTAGCTTATTTTCCATCAATCGCAAAATACGTGCGCACTCTGATGTTAACAATCTCCACAAGAAAAATTGGACACCAACACCGACAGACTAGACAGAGCAGGATGCTTATAATATGAAACAAATATCAGCTCTCAGGTTCTGTCCATTTTATTACGAATTTTTGCCAATAGATACAGTTTTGGCGCTTGTAAAAGTGACGTGATACATCGCTGCGCCTCGGGTCAAGTAAACCGATTATCTGTTACTTTATTTAAGATACAGTACAATTTACCAAAAGATACATAATTTGGAGTGTTTTTCAACCATGGAACTGCAGGAGAACAATTATTTCACAGAACGTTACATTTACCTCAGGAAAGCCATTTAATGACCAGCACATTAGTTGACTAGAAAAAAATAGCTAGAACAGTGAGTATTTCTAAATATGTGCTCTATATAACATGTTTACTTGTCATTATATAATTGTTATAATAAATTACACTATATTTTATACTGTATGCATTATATTTAATTTCTCTGCATGTTTACAGCATTGATGCATTTTTTTCTTGAGAAAAAAAAGATATAACGCAGGTGAATAATATTTATCCAAATGAGTCAATATTGAAATCAAATCGTAAAAATTGTGTTAAGCAATAATACAAACAGTAGCCTCAGTCATTGCACCATGTAAACATTAACATATTTTGGCAAGCACAATTTTTTCTTTTTAAGATAGCCCCAATGGGCTATATGCACGCATAAGTTCCGCATTTGACGTAAGGATGCTCGTCCATTTCCGGTTGTGTAGATTAAAGCGGAGGAAAACCGGAGAAAACGGGATTATGGCAGAGTCTTCAAAATTTACTGTCCTCCCGTCTTTGAAACGAAACGTACATACGTTTAGATGTAATTTTATATATAGTTATGTTTATTTAATATAATTTTAAAAAGAAGCATAAACACAACGAGGAGTGTCTGTTTTATCTGTTTTTGTGACTAACGTTTCATTAGTATAACCATGGAGTATAAAATTCAATACAAATTCTCGGTATTGCATTGGACTCTATGATCGGCGGAAGTTATCAAGCATCCTTAATCCTTCACCGGAAATAACGCCGTGCATAGAGCCCATCCATCTGTTTTTATTGTGCAATTGAAATATCGTGATAATACCGTATACCGGGATAAAAGCTCAATCAATTAATTGCAGCATGAAAATTTGATACCTACATGTAACATCCACTCCGCACACATTCACATTATACAAAACATACTTTAGCTGTCGCAAAGTACTTAAAGAAAATGTTTACATTCTTTAAGAAAGTATGTGATTGGACACAGCCAATGTTTTTCACACAATGCCAACTGCATCCACAATGGTCAAACTTCTGCCAGATAACTTGTGACTGGATTGAACTGGAATTGGGATTAATTATGAGATGTTGGTGTCAATGGAATAAACTGCTTTTGAGCAAAGATTGCAACAAGATTAACCAAACCGAAAAAAGCTTTTAAAGCACAGTTGTCCAGCTCAAGTTATTTATGCGAGTGGCTGACAAACCTGTAGGCTGATGATGTCCGCACCACAGTTGAGGATCTCTTGCATGATGGACTTCTTCCTGTACTCCCAGTTGAGGGCCCAGGAGGGACAGTAGCCATAGAGCTGACGTGTGGCGTACTTATCACACAGCACGTTGTAGCACATTACAGAGAAAAGCGCTAAAGTACGAAGGGAGAGGAAGCAAAATTTCAGTGAGGATGTCAAATAGTCATTCAACAAGATATTGTTGCAACTACTATTGCTCTTATTAAATAAAATATTGATACAGAATATAACTACACTACAGCATTACATTCAGGGATCGACAATAAGGACTGCCTGCAAATTTGAACTGGCCGAATCGGTCCCATAAAAAAAATATTTTAATATTTTAAATCTCAGCATTTTGAGGCTTAATAGAGTGCCGAAGTTACGACGTCACTCTGTAGGCCAAAACGTGGAAATGAGTTAGCATTTTCGCACTACCGTCTCCCTCGCTCTAAAGTCTATGGGATTTTTGAATGGGTTTTTGCTAAATTGCCTGAAATAAGGTCTGTGGTGAACAAAGCCTCTAAATATTTTCACGTTTTGATCTATGACTTAAAACACACCAGTTATAACCTGCTTGTGTTTTTTTAAACTATGTGTCTGCTTGTGTTTTTTAAAAACTTTATATAGACTTCAAAATTGTGGATTAACTAGTAAAGATTATCTTGATAGACACAACGTGTAAGGGTCACAACTCCTTGTTAAACACAGATCTTATTTTTTGCAATTTTCCAAAAGTCTATGGGGCAAAAATGCATAGCTTTACAATCGAGGGAACCCATGCGCCGCTAGCTTCCAAGTTGTCCTACAAAGTGACGTCATCACTTTTATTATTTGAAAATAATTGTCTAAATTGCTGCACCAGGGTAAAGGTGAAGTGGAAGAACAAACGATACAGAATCTGTGATGAACTGAATCTGCGTCTCACCTGCTGGCCGTGTTCTGTCTGTATCCTGCAGTTGTATCCATGAGCGAGATGGTGGCTGGTCTATAGATACTATGGCACAAAAACAAAGAAAAAAAAGTCAGCGAGTGAACCTCAAATGATGCAAGAACATCGTTATATTAACCCCACAGTAATTCAGAGCAAATCAAAAGAAAGTTCAATAAGAGAACAATGGCATGATTCATTTCATTGCATGAAATGAATCTGCACTGAAAGAGCACGTACAAGAACAGAAGGTTTTCCGTGATCGCTGTACAAGCGGGGTTGACTCACCACGTTTGGTGCCTGCAAGATTGTCCAGCAGGTAGTTGAGGAGCCGGCGTGTCCCATCAGGCTCTTGGTAGAGGTTCAAGATTTCTTGTGCAAGAGGGTTTCCTACAGAACGCAACCAAACATAAAGCATGACAGGAACATGGATAATTAAAGAACCAGTACATGGGTCAAACTAGAATTGCATTTCCAACTGAATTTCTTTCAAATGCCACTAATCACATAATTGTGGATCCAAATAACAAGAAAATGACATAACATTTTGACAGGCACATTTTTTATATATACATGTTGCACTTTAAGAATTGATATATTAGGCCTACTTTACAGTTCCTATCTAAAAGTAACAGCTTGTGGCTTCAATTGTAGAATGACCCAAAAAAAACAGTCTAAAATACCATACTAGTGTTAAATGCACTTAAAGAATAGTTACAATAGACTAGAGCAACAAAACATCAACAATTAACTAGGCCCACATGGATTCATATTCTTTGGCCATTGAATGTTTATTATGCATTTTGTCTATATGCACTTCAGCTACCAATGAGCTCAGTAAAAAAATAAAAATAAAAACATCTATCCTGTAGATTTCCCTAAAATCAGCACAAAAATGACCATCTGGGCCTGCACAACTGAAGTTTTATGGGTTATAAAAGGAAGTAGTACCTTTCAAACCCAACGTTTGTAACTGAAAGAGTTTTCCAAGCTCAAAAGGCAGAACTCGTAACTGGTTGTTATTTAAAAGCAGTTCCCTGTGAAAAACAAAACAAAAAAAGATAAAAAATTTGCATGCCATAAAAACAATCATACAGCAATAAGCATCTGAAGCATACAGGGATACAAAATGCTACATAAAACCCAACGTCAGCAAGCCATTTTGGCATATGAACCCCCGTACTGCACAAAACCTATTGCAGCCCAGTGCATTTCAGCTGTTGGATGAAATCCCAACCACTTTAAAGGTGCCTAATACAGTAGCATTTGGGCTCCTCTCAGAACATGATTTATAACCATCCACAGCAGCAGTAATCACACTAGCAGAGAAGTGGTAACATTTCAACCTGTGACAAATGAAATTGATTCAGAGCAAACCACCGTGTCCCCCACATATGAGAACAGTGGTGTTCAGAGCTCAGGACTAACGTCACCTTTGAAGAATAAAGGACCTAATTAACAACACCCATAGGCTCAACAACTCAAGTACTGGGGTTAAAAAGTCTCTGCACACTACCACAATAGCCTTATCCATCTGCCCAACATCAAACCACAATCTTTATACAGTGTGCAAATTAACACAGCCAATTAGACACCAACCTGAGAGATACCATGTTGCCTAGCTCAGCAGGCAGGCTCCTGATCTTATTGGATGAGAGGTCCAGGTACACCAAATTGTGTAGTTTGGCAATGTCGGGTGGGATTCGCGAAAGCGAGTTATCACTGATATGAAGAGCAGTGAGGTGGGTAAGGGACCATAATGATGTACTCAAACTTCTCACTTTCCCTGCAAAGACAACAGAATGTAAACATTAAATTTTGAGCTTAGGGACATCATTCACATCTACTACGGTAAAGTGACGGGGACTAATCAAACGTGCTGATTATTTTTATTATTGATTAGTTGATACAGACCTAATATACACATTTGAATTAAAATGCAATATATTACTGCATTCATTGGAAAGATTTTAAAAGTGCAACATTGGCTATGACAACACTCTAAAGGCCAAATGAGTCCACACAACAACAACTTTAAGAGCACAGAGAAACAATATCATTGCAACCACTTTCAGAATTATTTTTTTCCACCCGGCTGATGAACAAAAACAATTCTGCTTTAAAACACACAATTTTGATCAAAGATCAGGAGCACTCAATTTAAAACACACAGGCAGAGATAAATCATTTATAATAAATACTGCAATAGTCTATAAATAATGAGAAGTCCATTTTACTTTCATGGTTACTTTTACATTATTTCCAGCTTGTCTCACCTCGGAGCAAATTACTCGTAGTACAACATTTTCCTTTGGATTAATGAGGACAGATGATTCACGCATATAGACCAGGAATGAATATTAAAGTCGCAATGTACCAGAAGTAGCGTTGCATTTAGAAAATTCATACCAACTTTAAGTAAACTGGCTCTATTTTGATTTCATTTGTCTTTGACGTGTTAGCCCCCATTGAGAACCCCAACGTTACCAACAATCTCCAACTCTGCCCAATATGACTTCTTCCCATTTGCCGCCTCCTCAGTGGACATTATCGTATACATCCGCCTTGGGTCAGGCGGATCATATTTTTCCTTGGGCATCCCTGTAATACTGAAACACAAACAACAAAATCACTTTCACTGCTGAACACAATTACAGAACATGTATTACACACACGCACTTTGTTTACATGAACATGAAGCTGCTTTTATCGTGACAGGAAACCAAATGGGTGCAACTGTGCAAAGAACAGGTGAAAAACCTAGTGAAAATAACACTGAAAACACTCTGAGAGTGAGAACACAAACAAAAGCAAATCCAAAATCAATAGCCGAGGGGATGTTTCCATTAGTGATACTCGCGCGCCGGACGACGTCACTACGCTTCTCAAATTTACATAATGCAGCTTTCAAAAGGCTGCGATTAAAATGAGTACGAGTGAGATTTTAATAGTCTGTGACCAATAAGCACTAAAAAAAAAGTGTAAAATTGAGTTTTACTGAGTAAAATTTTAGTCAGACATTGCACAGAAAAAAAGTCGACTCACATTGCAAATTCCATGAAACAAACGTCCAACTAAAGTTCTTGCTAAGGTGTAAAACTGCACTCCATGTAAACACGGTGCCAGTATATTTCCTTTACATAACTGCGGTGTTAATCGCCAAATAATCACTTAACCAACAGGCCCGAGGAGCGTCAGTTTTGGTCTTTCATCATCGCTGTGCTACTCAACCCAAACAAAAACACCACCACCTCGTGTTTATTTCCCAGAGCCACGTTACAGAGCTAGGACTGCTAGCTGAGCGAGCCTGACTCACGAGGGGAACAAGGCGTCTTAATGAGTCGATTAAGGGCAAGCAATTAGAAAATTAATTGACTTTAGATGGTGCTTGAGACAGATTTGCTTTCGAACTGCTTTGGTGAATTAGTTTGATCGGACCCCCTACAATGTGCATTTAACGTTACAGTAGGGAACCTCTCTTGACAAACATCCACTTAACTTTGTAAGTGCACTTGTGCGATATTAATCGCCTGGAACACACGGAAGTAAACTAATAAGAGGTTTTATGATGTTAATAAATGTGTGTTGTGTTAGCTTATGTCGCTTCCCCACGGACACAGCAGGCTTCTTACATAACCAACAACACAGATCTCAACGCTTAAATTCGCTTCGGTGATCATTTCATCCAATCCGTGATAGTTTTCAAAGTACCCACGCACGCAAAAGTGGAGAAAATACAAACGAGATCTTACCGATCCTTCATTTCCTCTCTGCTCAGATTGAGCAAATTAGCTTATGCGCTAACTGGCTAACAGGCGATTACAAATTCACAAAACTAGACCAACACTACGCGTAAAGCCAGTAGGAAAGAAAAATATTCCCTTGCTTATATACCACTAGAAACTACTGAAACGCCTCAAACGCGTATTCGTTTTACCTGTAAGCTCATACCAGTTCACAAAGACGAGTGCGCGTTTCCTTTGTTTCTGATCCGCTGCTCTTTCTCACTGATGGCAAACAAGCATCATGGCGGCCGTGAGAGTTTCAGGGCTCGATAAGAAGCGCCCCGATCATTGGCTGCCTCTGAAACGAGCGATCTGATTGGTCGGCTTGTCCACTCGACGCCTCCAAACTGTTTACGCCAGCGAGGCAGGTCAAAAATGGGAGTCACAAAAATAGGTCAATTTTGCGGATGTACAACATAGATGCAGTTTGCCATAACGTGCTATAATCACATAATAAATAAAATGTAAGAAGCACAGTAAGTAAATAGGGGTGTGTTTTGTAATATAAACACTTTACATAGGCTATTTGAAATTGTGTGACTGGTTTGTGAGATGGGCTTGCACTGATTTTAATTGCATCGAGGTTTATGTGAACTTAAAAATCAAACGACACGTGCAAAATATGCAAATCATTTAATCTCCGTAACCGATGTGAGGTGTATAACTTCCCTAATAGCCTATTATATCAACCACGTAGAATAATATGTGAAGAAACAGTTTTCAAGAAAGTATATGCTATAATTAAATGTGTTTATGGTTGCAGTACATTTGATAAACACTGGATGGCAACATTTAGCTTTACACACATCAGGGCATTGCTCAAAATTGAATAGGCCAGTTTACAAGACAAGTTAATTGTCAATACTTAGCTGAAATGGTAGAAATTAAAGGAGTAGTTCACCTTAAAAAAAAAAAACTTTTGCTGATAATTTACTCACCCCCATGTCATCCTTTCTTTCTTCAGTTGAAAAGAAATTAAGGTTTTTGATTAAAAACATTCCAGGATTTTCTCCATATAATGGACTTCAATGGGAACCAAACGGTTCAATGTCCAAACGAGAGTTTCAGTGCAGCTTCAAAGGGCTTTCTGTGTATTCAATGGATTATACAGACAATTTGCATTACGTGGACACAGTTCTCCTTAGAATTTTGATTGGGGTATAATAGTGAAATGCAGTAATATTACACTGATTTATTTAGGATTAAAAAAAAACTGTAATGCTGATTTATTTAGGATTAATGCATATTGGAATTATGTTTTTATAAATCATAATCTTAACAGATTATGAGAAAGTAATTTCTTAAAGGGTTAGTTCACCCAAAAATGAAAATGATGTCATTACTAACTAACAGGCCTTACTAACAGAAATCATGTGCTGATGAATTCACATCATATAAAACCCAATTCACCACTAATATTTAAAAAGGAATGCAGGTTTTTCAGTAAACTGTGTTTGAAATGTGGGATGTAAAGATTGGGTGACAACACTGAAATTGTCAAAGAAATAATCCTGCCATAAGCACAAACACACTCCCACCTGCTGAGGGCTAAATATAGTTTCATCCCTGACATCTTCCACATCATGATGCATGCAACCAGGCTATACCTTTCATGACAGAACATTAATAGGTCTGAGATCTTGAGGTCAGAGCTGAGGCCTTGAAGATACATGCCTTTTGTTTAACGAAATCAGATTTAGGGCATTAAAGATAACAAAGCACATCCTAAACAAAATGAATACGCAATCTATAACCAAAGCATATTAAATATATGTGTAAACCGAATGTTCATCAAAGTCTTCATTCATACATACATCACAGAAGAATTCTGTCATTGTTGTCTGATTTCGATCACATTACAAATGTGATAAAACAACCAATTCCTTAAAGCTATTTTCACAGCTAGAATTTTATGCAGTCTAAATAGACGCAATTAAAACAATATTTTTTCACCCTTTGCATAATTTGACAAAATTATAGCTTGATTGTAAATTACACAATATAATTGGCTTCACATGATATTAACCATGGTTTTCTTTGTGTTCTTCAAGTCTCATATTTCACCTTGCACTTAAAGGGACTCATCACCCATTTGCATTAATAATTGTATCTTTAGAAACCCAGTTATATTTTTGAATGATCATGGTTTATTCCCTTATTTTCCCCTGAGATGGGAGAAATAAGGATTTAAGTGTTTTACTTCCTGCTTATTATGACGTAAAAAAGTCATTTTGAAAAAAAAGTCATGATAAAAAGTTTTCCTATAGACAGTTTTAGTGTGATCTTAGTCCAACAAAAAGTTCTCAAGTTTAATAAACACCAAGTTACAATGAGGTAATGATGGGATTTAAAATAACATGTTGAAACTGCAATATCTAATCTAATATTAGATCTGTAATTTATATATTTTACCAAGCCCCAACTTTCACAGCTCTATAATTCAAAACAAACCATAAAAATTTGTATCATCTATTTGAATTCACATCATCCAATTAGCACCTACATTCAAAAGCATCAGTTTAAGTAGCGTCCTCATTTAGCAGACACCCATTGAAATCTGACAGATGCTTTTGCCGCATTCACTTATCTGTGCATTGCAAGGGTTGCGCTTGTCAAATGTTCTATGATCTTGTGTTTCTCTATCTTCTAGCACCCACTTCCGCTTACTGTGCAGATGTGTGCCAGAAAGCTCTCCGAGGCAGTGACTTAACACTTTGAATTGTAGGATTCATTTAAATGACTATGATTGAGATATCCCTGCCAAAAGCTATTGAATGGCTTTCAGTAGCATGCAAGAGTCAGTGTTATCGGCTCTTTCAAGAAATCGAATGCCCCGGGTTATGTAGGCCTAAATCAAACACTTGATAATTATCTCAGCGCGGTTGGAAAGTAGTCCGGTAATTTCATCATTTCCCATCTCTAATGATTAGGAAAAGGGGAAGGTTGTAATTGAAAGAAGGTGATCTTAAATCTTAGCATGCGGAGCTGCATATGGTATGAGACCCTGTGGCATAAAACGTCCATCTCTCTTTACTCACCAATTCTTCCAGTCACATGTCATGTTCACTTTTGATTCATATTCATTGGTGGATGGTAACCGAGTGATATAGAGGACTTGTATAGATACACTTTGTTACCAAACCTAAATGTCAAGATCAACAAACAGTATTATACAGAGTAAAATAAACAGAATAAAGCAAATAAACGGATTAATTATTGTTTACTGCAACTATCCGTGTTTGAATTAAATAGGATTAACCATCTTTTGTTTGTAATTGGCTTATTGGAGTCTGAAGACACATTCTCTAATATGGAAATCTGTAATGCACTTGTTTTGATGGAATTATACGTGCTGAAAATCACTTGTCAAAAAAACCCCAGTGTCAATTTTTATTCATTAGCTACTCTCAGGGGCTTGAAACTGAAACACCTCTTTTTAGACTACAATAACTTATCAGTATGGTGAAGGGCCTCCTTTTTACGTCAAATACAGTATTGGGAATGACAGATACAAGTCCTTCACAGTGGCCGGAGGAATTTTGAGCCATTCCTCTTCCGGAATGTGATAATGCTGGAGGAAAACTTGTTGTTCCGAAATATACGCATTCTCACCCCAAGGCGTCACCTTTGACCATGCTTCAATATTTGACGTTTTAGGCGCCCTTTAGCGTCACTTACATGACGCGATCCTACGGCGTCATCTAACTGACGCTAAAGGAAAGCGTCAGTTAGAGGACGCGTATAGGTTTAGGTGTGGGGTGGGGTAGGGTACACGCGATCCTAGGGCGTCATCTAACTGACGCTAAAGGGCGCCTAAAGCGTCAGATATTGAAGCATGTCCAAATGCTTCCCAAGGCGTCAGTTAGGTGACGCCTTGGGAGTGAGAATGGGATGGAAATATCCCAAAGTGGCTCAAATATATTTAGATTTGGTGACTGTGAAAATCCCTGCACATGGTCCCTCAGAATGGTTCGGTCCTTAGCAGTGACATGTACGTAAAGCACAGTAGGGAATGCCATGATATTGCTGCCCTAACCATCACTGATGCAGACATTACCATGTTGTGTGGAATGCAATATTTTATGTACAGCTGTGCTATTGCACTGCTAAGCTAATTCAACCTTCACACTTTGCTCTGACTGATGTATGTAAAATCAGTGAAGATTGGTCACCAGGCTGCGCATATATAGGTGTGAAACCTCCAACACTGGCTGAGGAAAGCCTTCCAAGAAGAGTGGAAGCTATAGCTGTCATAGTGGTTACCCCCTTTATTACTCCATAGTGTTTATGTATTTAGAATGCAATGCCATTCACCCAAAAATGAAAATTAAGTCATTAATTACTCACCCCCATGCTGTACCAACCCCGTAAGACCTTCGTTCGTCTTCGGAATACAAATGAAGATATTTTTGATTAAATCTGAGAGGTGGATCACTGCTACATAGGCACCCTAAGGGATTGAAACTTGACGGAAAGTCATTGAAGAAAATGTTTAAATATTCCATGGCTCAACTATAAGTTTATCAAGTGACGAGAATACTTTTTGTGCGAAAAAACAAACAAAAATAACAACTTTATTCGACTATTCCTTTTCTTCCTTGTAGGCCTGAGACGAGAGTTCAAGAGATTTCCTTCAACTCCAACTCCTTCAGTTCAGTTCTCGCGCATGCGTCCTGGAAATCTCCAACGCATTCTCATCCCAAAGCGCCATATACAACGCTTTTGCAAAAGCGTAAATATCCAACGCACATGGCACCCTTTAACGTCTAATGAGACGCTTCGGTTATGGTTAAGTTTAGGTATGGTGTAGGGTAAGGGTTAGACCACTAGGGGGCGCCTTCTGCCCAAATATATCTGCGTCTCATTTGACGTTAAAGGGTGGCATGTGCGTTGGATATTTACGCTTTTGCAAAAGCGTCCTATATGGCGCTTTGGGAAATCTCTTGAACTCTCGTCTCAGGCCTACAAGGAAGAAAAGGAGTTGAATAAAGTCGTTATTTTTGTTTGTTTTTTCGCAAAAAAAAGTATTCTCGTCGCTTGATAAACTTATAATTGAGCCACTTTTGTCACATGGAATATTTAAACATTTTCTTCAATGACTTTCTGGGCCGTCAAGTTTCGATCCCTTAGGCAGCCTATGTAGCAGTCGAAGACGAAGACGAATGAAGGTCTTACAGGGTTGGTACAGCATGGGGGTGAGTAATTAATGACTTAATTTTCATTTTTGGGTGAACTAAACCTTTAAGGTTCCTGTTGGTGTAATGGTCAGTTGTCTCAATACTGTTGTCCATATAGTGCATTTCAATCCTTTTGCATTTCCTTGCAAAACGTTTGATTTTAAGAGTGCAAATGTTGTGCAAGAAAATGCTGTTTCTCGGAGGAACGCAATACTTTTGCGAAAGAAAGCGAAAGCAATGAAATAATAATTCTCCTTCCCATGCAATTTATTTTACCATCACCGTGTCGTTTTAAATTATCCATACAATTGAATAGTCAGAATCATATATTCTGCTAATGATTTTTTTTTTACTACAACAATGAAACTGAGAATGTTGTTTGCTCAAGCAGAGGTGAGCCGTCTCAGTTTCTCTTTATAAACTAAGAAGCTGGGTTTGCAAGTCAATGTGAACAAAGAAACTGCCTGTGGATCTGAATTGTGAACAGAGAGAGTCCTGGGATTTCCCTTCAAACTGCAGCAGTCTGGGAATTTGTCACAGGCCAGGGGTCACATTATGACCTTTGACAGAGCTCTGAAAGATTTTCTTCTCTGCATCTCATATAATAATTCAAGGTAAAAAAAAAAAGGTTGTTTTTCCTTTGTTGTGTCTCCCTGTTTAATTCTCACACTCACACCCCCACATTCTCACCTCCAGTGAGCGTATCTCTAGAAATAAGAGCAATGTTCCTCTTTGCACAACAACCTGAATGGCCAAGTACGTCTATATTGATGAACGCAGGTGCCATTGTGGAGAGAAACAGTATGCATCATTGAATTTATTGCATTAGGGCCTGGTTTCACAGACAAGGCTTAGATTAAGACAGGATTGGGTCTTAGTTCACTTACTGGTGTGCATCTTGAGTCAAAACAATGGCACCGATTATATTTTAAGATACGTCACTTTCACAGCCTTCAACCTTGTCTGTGAAACCGGATAGATGTTAAACACAAAAATAATGCATTTATGCTGCATTTAGCTTTTCTTGACTGTATGGCCTCCCATGTCACTAACACTGTCAAGTCTAGTGGAGGTGCAGTTTAATTTACTGTCCAGTTGCCACATTATGTGAGGACACACACATACCATGACAGGGTGTTCCCCTGCCCCATTAATTATCTGATGGACCGTGCCGACTAAAACTGAATGACGGATTGTCACAGAAAACATGCCACATAGTTTATTAAACACCAGCTAACAGAGCATTATGCATTCTGGGAGCATGCCATGGGTTTACATCATCTTGTAACACAACATAGCCAAGACCTCAAATCGAGTCTGAAAGAAGAGGTCTATAAAAAAATAAAGAAAATTTCTATTCCTTTTTTCCCCAGCACATTTTTTGCAGCCCACCCCACCCCACACCTAAACCTAACCGCGTCCTCTAACTGACGCTTTCCTTTAGCGTCAGTTAGATGACGTCGCAGGATCGCGTCATGTAAGTGACGCTAAAGGGCGCCTAAAACGTCAAATATTGAAGCATGGTCAAAGGTGACGCCTTGGGGTGAGAATGCGTTGTTTTTTGAGATGATTTTCAGATTGTCTCTTTGAATTGAATGAAGACAGTGATCAATCCCAACAGCACTTTAAAGGATGACAATTAACACAAATGAACAACGAAATCTTGGCTGATGTGATGAGACTGCTATATATTTGACTTTTTTCTCCCCCTTTTGAAGCTTTAAATAAGGAGCTTCATTAGCTGAAGGGAAACAAACCAAAATAGGCTGGAGCGGAAAACAGTTCAAGGCTGTGTTTTGTAAAACATCTTGTGTTGTATCTGTATAATGTGGTAATAGAAGGCTACAGCTGTGATGCTGTAAACCCACCAAGTCATCACGCACACTGAGGGAGTTCAGTATCCCTGAGTGCATAAACCCCCAGGACTCATTGACCGTGGGGATATTCCACAGAAAAGTGTGTGTTCGCCTGTGTGATTGCATTCACGATATGTGAGCCGATATGCAGACAAAGAGTTAGAAATATGCACAGATCAGAAGGCCCAGGGGCGTAGAATTTAGTAGGAACACTAGGGATGTGTCCCTAACAATATCCAGTGACACTGATAAATCCCTAGCAATAATTTCAATCAAAACTTAAAATATATTTTTATTCAATTTTATAAAATCAAACCTACACCACTGCAGGAAGCAGCAGCAATAACATATATTTATATATATATATATATATATATATATATTATTACTAAATATATTATATATAAAATATATTAATTAAGATGATAAAAATATTACAGTGTATGTTAAATAACGGGCAGCTGTTATAAGATTTTTATTAAGATGATAATAATAATACATTAATAATAATATTTTAGCGATATGTTTTAACTTACAGTTAACCAATTAACAGCTTGTTGCATTAATTAATTATAGCATTTTTCACAATACATACATAAACTTGTGCTGAAGTCATCATGACCCACTAATGTAATTCTAAGTTTTTTTTTAGATCTGGGGGCGGTATTCACAAAACATTTAGTCTTACCGCTATAAGTTCTTCTAAATAGAGGAACTTAATAATAATTCGTTGTTGGGTAATGAAATCGAATTTTAATATCAATCCACACTCGACTTTTTAACTTAAGTGATTATAATGTGCGCCTACCTGGGTTTTAAAAGGCTTGATTGCTCAAACGTCAAAGCTTTTGACAGCACAAACAGAACACCCCCGTAAGAGAGAGAGAGAGAGAGAGAGAGAGAGAGAGAGAGAGAGAGAGAGAGAGAGAGAGAGAGAGAGAGAGAGAGAGAGAGAGAGAGAGAGAGAGAGAGAGAGAGACACTCGCATAAATGTTCAGCGACACACTGGAGCGCAATCCGCCTCTCTCGGCGCGCGCTTCTTTGGAAAACAAAACATGTCTTGGCTAAGTGTGGTTCACTACTGCCCCACCAAAAAGGCAGCAAACACCGATAAACGATATCCAAATCATCGAGGAGTTTTAAAAGTTAGCACACCGTCATCTTTGGTATGATACGTCTGGCGTGGAGTGTTCGGCGGATTGCACAGCGCTTCAGATTGGATGCTACAAGTTTGAAGTCGAATCGCGTCTTGGATGAGAATACGCCTGGAAATGGGGGATCAGCGCCAAGGGTCATCAGAATGGATTTAACCACCATCACTTCGCCGAATTCATCCGCGGATACTAATAGCACGTCCGTGCCGAGACCATCGCCGCATTCATATTGCGTGGCGATGCTCATTGTTCTCGTGGTTACCGTGATCATCCTGGTAACCATAGTGGGGAACGTATTGGTCGTGGTGGCCGTTTTCACCAGCCGCGCGCTGCGTGCGCCACAGAACCTCTTTCTGGTCTCTTTGGCGTCTGCTGATATTTTGGTGGCCACTTTGGTCATTCCGTTCTCCCTGGCCAATGAGGTGATGGGCTACTGGTTCTTTGGAAGCACCTGGTGTGCTTTCTACCTCGCTCTGGACGTGCTCTTCTGCACTTCGTCCATTGTCCACCTCTGCGCCATAAGTTTGGACCGGTACTGGTCAGTCACCAAAGCGGTCAGCTACAACCTAAAGAGAACCCCGCGGAGAATAAAGTTCATGATCACGGTGGTGTGGATCATTTCCGCGGTGATTTCCTTCCCGCCGCTTCTCATGACCAAACACGACGAGCTGGAGTGCTTGCTGAACAACGAGACCTGGTACATTCTTTCCTCCTGCGTGGTGTCCTTCTTTGCCCCTTGTCTCATCATGATTTTGGTGTACTGCAAGATCTACAGGGTGGCCAAACAGCGCGCGTCCACTGTGTTCGTGGCCAAGAACGGGATGGAGCGACAACCGTCGCAATCCGAGACCTGCTTCGTGCGTAAAGGCAAGTCGGAGACGGAGAGCCCCAGTAGCCACAGCTCAGGCAGTCGAGAGCGCAAAGGCGAGCTCGACGACATCGACCTGGAGGAGAGCAGCGTCTCCAACAGACAGAGGACCTCGCGCTTCGCTAAGAGCAGGATGGTGGAAGGTGCACACGCGTGCCCAAAGCAAAATGGACGGCTCTCGTGGGCATGTAGCCGCGCATCGGAGCTCGAGCAGGAGCCGACCGCGCGTCAGCTCTATTTGTCCAAGTCCAAACTGGCCCAGGTGCGAGAGAAGCGCTTTACCTTCGTGCTGGCTGTGGTCATGGGGGTGTTCGTGCTCTGCTGGTTTCCATTCTTCTTCACGTACAGCCTGCATGCAATATGTCGAGAAAGTTGCACAATACCGGATTCTCTATTCAATCTGTTTTTCTGGATTGGTTACTGCAACAGCTCCGTGAACCCCATTATTTATACAATTTTCAACAGAGACTTTAGGAAAGCGTTCAAGAAGATAATGTGTCAGCATTCGACACGCACGTAAATGCACGTGTATATGGGTCAGTTAGATGGGCGATCTTTTGTAAATATAATTGGCTATAATATCTGCCTTAACGTCTTAAATTCTTTCCTTCATCAGTTCCCAAACAATATTTTACTGTCATATCATGAATGGTGATTCAAGACGTTTTCTATGGCTGAACAAAACATGCCCTTTTTTTTTATAACAAAAACACACAGTAATATGCTTTTATAGTTTTCTTGTCACATGAAAACAAAATGGCTTTCTCCTTGTTAGTCACAATGATTTTGATTTGCTGGACTTTCTTTAAATATTAATAATATTTAAACCAAATTGCTTTATTGCTAGTTTTGTAGTGAAAGATATAATGAATGCCAGCTTTCCTTTTTTTACAAAAATTTAAGCCCAGCCACACTACCGTGACATTTTTTTTCCTCACACAAGGTGACTTTTAGTAATCAAAAACATTTCATCATAGAAAAAGTGTATTTAAGTATAAATTGCTTTCTTGATGTATTTTTGATGAAGTACCTCAAACATATACCCCATATATATATATCGTCTGTGTTGCAATGTGTTTGAGTTTGTCTGTGCTTTGCAAATAGTTTTACAGGATCTCTGGGTCATTTCTCTTGGTCTTTGTGCACATATTTAGGAATGTAGTGTATTCATGTTTGAGATTTTAACTTACAATATGTTTATTTCCTCCTAAAAAGCACGGGCAGGTGACCAGGTCAAATGTGAAAACTCCTTTAAAGACCACACATAATGTGGCGGTCCACTTGAATTATGTATAATTCATACAGCACAACTGGATCAAAAAATCTTAGATATGACACAGACACTTTTCCTGAAATTGTCTCAAAGACATTAATGTGAGACGTTTTAATAAAGTTTTTGAACCTGTGTTAATGAAATGAACTTATAAAAATGTTCAACTGTTAAAATCTCTAAATATTTAATAGCCAATTACCAGATGGAACGATGCAACTAGTTGTTGATTAGAAGCTCATGTTTTTCAGTCTTGTGACGGCACTGCTGACCTGAACTCTCGCTGCTGTCCTCGGTCCTGACGGGCTTCAAAGGCCTGCAAAGCAACCCTGGCAAAGGCCATTAAATACATGCAATAATCTTTTTTTCCTTCCCCCAATCTGATGATGTTAAATTAACTAGATCAGTCAAAGGCTGCATAAGATGACAAGGATAACTGGGTTTTTAAAGTCTGAATTTGATTATCCTCATTTAAATGTAATTTATATGTTAATGCCACCCTAATTATGTAATGAAATGTCCATAGCGCTTACATCTCAGTTCATATCATGTTTAAAATCAAAGATTAGGCTAAATGCCAAAGCTGATAAGTCTGGGCCAAATAAGAATGACTCATTTATTATGCTGCTTGTTTCTCCTTATTTAGGAAACAATCATATCCTTATTTTTCAAAATCTTAACAGTATTGTGATGTTAACTCATCATCATATGTACAAGATTACAATGCACTCATGTAAAATCTCATTTGAGGGCTGAATCAAAGACCCTGTGGCACAAAAGCCAAAAAATGTATATTAGGGATATTTTCAGGGTTATTATCATAAACCTAAAAGTCGAAACTTCTATTTCAATTATTTTTGTAATAAGCAATAATCAACAAAAATGGATAATCATTTTGTTACTCGTCTTGTCACAGCATAAGAGCACCCTGTAAAAAAATATTGTTGGTTTAACTTAAAAAATGAAGTAACCTGGTTGCCTTAAAATTTTAAGTTCATTGAAATGGAAAAATTGAGTTAATACAATGAAGGAGATTAATTTAATCATCAGAAACTCAAAATATTATGTTATCTGAACTACATAAATGATCTAAGTTGATTTGACAAAAGAAAAAATGTTGTGATTACAAATCATGCAAATATTTTTTTTTACAGTGGATGTTTGAAAATGATGGATCCTGTTGTGATTTTGTTCAAGTTGTTTGATGCATACTGTGATTATGAATTGTTCGAGTCCAAGTTCCCCTGATTACATACTGGGTTCCAGTTCAGTTCATATGGATACTCACTGCTTCGGCATGTACTCAAGCTCATTCGGTTATTTTCTCGAACTGAAACCAAATTCCCTAAGAGCGCTCACAGAACTGGTAGTTATAGCTAAAGCAATCCCGCTCTCCTACTTGAAAGCTATTGAGAAACTTCTCTGCAATTGGCTTCTGAGAACAGACACATCATGTTCAATGACCAGAGACACACTTCAAAGAGAATGAAACAGAATGGCAAAAAGCAAGGACCGATTCCCTCTGAGGAAAATCTTGCCGATCACGTGCGCCGCGTTCCGCTCTTGACACACCTAACATAGATGATGCAGCTGTTTCACAACAAATAGTGTGACGTGCTGGACATATGCTTTACAAGCTTTTAAACTACAATATGAGATGTCTCTTTTGGATGGTTAAACCATAAAATATGTATTATCTTGCTTCAGGCTGATGCTTAGAAACTGGATTTGCCAGAGATCCCCATCAGGACTCAAGCGAGAAGCTTAATCAATTTTTCAGAGAACCGTGATTGCACTCGGTTGTCATTCAGGCTGAAAAAAAGAAAAGAAAAACGAAACAAACCCTAAATGAACAGAGCTTGTGATGAAGTGACTAAAAGCTGGGAGGCGTCCACTTTGCATGCTCATTGATTACTGTTAGGAAAATGAGAGAAAGGAGTCACATGGGAGTCCTGCTTTCCTTGTGAGAGATGGATCGGGGTCAGATCGGGGGAAACCGGGGGCGGGAGGCAGCTCCAGCACACACTAATCTGATGAGGGGCAGCATTGTGTACAGTGGCACAGAGGGAAACGATGTGAAGATCAAGCATTAAATCCTTACTGGAATGTGTGCAACCTCTGAGCAAAACAACTCACATTTTTGCAATAATGAAAAAAAAAAAAAATGACACAAGACATATGCTTTAGCAGTTCCATCACATGACAACAGTGTTTCACTTAAAGAACAAAAAAATGAACCTTTGGTCTAATTACACATTGGTACCTAGTCGACCGTTCTCTGAGATTTGTTTTCATGATAATCGAATGTAAAGAGTTTTATCTCTAAAAACTGTTTAGCGTATAGCGCTATGCTCCATGCTATGTTATTAAACCATTAAATCATGTAACCATATTGGTATCATGCTTCCAATCAAATTATTCCTTTCGCATTGATCACGCTCTGCATATCCACAAGTTTCCTACGCCCCATGAGGCCTTGCGCCAAAAGTGGGCGCGACTTCCGGTTGGAAGTAAACAAAGCGCGATTTGACATGCTTGACACTCGTTCATTCAACAGTTGACAGTCATTCAAGTTATAGCGATCCAAACTAGCTAACGATGTGGGAACACAACCTCAACGAAATTAAAAAAGGTGAAATAACAGTACCTTTACCCTCCGCAGTAGTTGATTGGGAGTATTATAATAACATTATTAATAATCAATACTCATCAAGGCATGGTGACAGACAGTTGTGTGAGCTGACAAACAATTAAAATAAAAAATACACACTTAGTCATTGTGCTTTGGAGTTTATTCAAAATTATAAATGAATGTGCTGCTTGAATACATTAACTGGCACATTTGGTATTCTGTCAACACAGGCTTTGATCCTGAGTTTAGGTGTAACATCAGTAGCGAACAGCCAATCACATGCTGATAGAGTTTATAGAATATTAAGAATTTAAACAAACGTACACAGGAAGATTCGTCGTCTTTTGGGAGGTGATGGAAACTTCAGTCGTTGGCAGGATCAGAGACGGGCTCTGTCAGGATCACTCTGATTTCGTTTTCAGCTTACGTTCAAAACAATCACGTTTAAGCCACTGAATTAGTTTAGTCCGGTTATACATACAACCGCGAACAGCACATGTTGTCCCTGAGCTCCGTAACGACATCTCTCATAAAGATTTGCGTCTTTAAATAGTAAAATAATTCTCCGAAAAACAGCTAGCCTCTTCGCTAACTAACACACAAAATACCATTGGAATGCTACTTCCGCCGCGTCACCGGAAGTTTCACCCACTTTATTTTTTACAGGAGCGCCCCTCGGAAACTTGTGGATTGATAGCATGCATTTCATGCTTGTTATATTAATCAAAGGTTCAAAAACTGGCAGCTTACTCCAATCATGCAAATGAGTCAGCTTCCAAACAAAGGAACCTTTACTACTTGACAAATATACCTTTCTCATTGGCCAAGCCAAACTCAAGAGGTGTGACCTCCAGGACCGGGGGTCACTTTTCAGCCCGGGAGTTGCAGGTCCCTGTTTTACACGATCAATCTGTTTTGTAGTTCCCTACTAGTTGTTTTCGCTTGCAAATCGCTGTTCACTGGCCTGCCAACATGACATCATGACTTTTGCGTAAACATATCTCTATCTCTACACATTTTGAGCTATCCTACGCCATTAACGTCCGAGTGATTCCGCGTGTCTGTCAAATGTCCGCGTGAAACGAAGCAAAATGTAGATCTACATCTGGGGAGCGATCTTTTTATTTCCTAGGATGGTGAGGGAACACTCATAAATGCCATTAACCCCAGTGACGGTTAGATTTAGGGACGGGGTTGAGGTAAGTCATATATTTATATAACGTTAAGTCAACGGCGTTCATAAACACGCTGAAAAGCGATTATGCGTCTTGATAGCACGTCAAAAATGGAAATACGAATTGGCGTGTCATACACACACTACTTCATGAAATCAGTCTGGGCCTGCAGTGCTTTTGGCCGTATTGGTGAGTAAAAAACATGCCAAAAGTGTAAGCACGGGAAAAGTCATATTTATTTACATATCATATTTATTTTGCGTTAGCATGAAGCTGCAGTTTCACAATACATGACTTGCACTTCCGAATAACAGTAAAATGTTACTTTAACAAATCGTACCCTGCGCATGCAATTTTTATGGCATCATATTACCTTCATAGTGTTATTTCCCTGTTTCCACTGAAAACAGTTGTTAGACGACAGATCAATACTGAGTGTTCGCTGGTCAAACAGATGAATTGATCTTAATATTTATTTAACTTCAAGTTAATTCTATTAACTGATCCAAATATTTATAATTTATTATAACAAGTTATGATTGATTATTCATATTTCCTTTTTGAGCTACTTTGCTACAATACTCTTAACTCGTGAAAATACAAAGTGATCTCGATAACCTAAGCCAGAGAATACAGCAGCTTTAGTTTAAAATATTTGCCACCAGCTCATATTTCATATTCTGCTCTGTGGTGATAAGGTATTCTGAGTAGCCGGAAAAGCTTCTTCTAAAGTCTCTGAGCTCTTCTCAGCCTCAAAATCATCAATGGTGAATGAATTTTTCCTGGAGATACACTGTAAAAACGAATATGCTTTATCTAATCAATAAAATTGTGGCAACAGATTACAAGCAATATTATTTATTAAATTGAACAAATTAGAATTGAGTAATAGTTAATCAAATTAACATTCTAATTAATTCTAATTTGTACAATTTAATTAATAATATTGCTTGTAATATGTTGCCACAATTTTATTGATTAGATAAAGCATATTATTTTTTTCAGTGTACCCTATACACAAAAGCACCTAAACTTATCAAAAGAGAGTTTCCTTTCTTAGTCCTCTTGTTTCATTCTTTAAAAGACTCAGCAAATTCTTGTCCTTTGAGATTTCAGAGGATGTGTCAAGATGAGATTAGAGTATCTCTGATATCCTCAAGCTTTGAAACACAGATGTATGGAGTGAATGCGACGGCTGCCGAGTGATGCAGGATGTAGTAATGTATGCGCAGGAAGTCACTGGCTTAATTGCTCTGCTTGACAACATATAATGATGCTCACTAGTCTTTATTTTGGACATTTCATTTCAATTCTTTTAGATTCTTTTT